GGTCCAACTATCTGCAAGGCCTGAACCTTGAAATTCCTTGGCGCCATCTGGAAAGGAGACCCTGGGGGGCAGGAGGTGGGCAGTGGCAGAGCCTCCAGCTTCTGGGAGGTCTTGGCAGGTGCCCTTGTAAGGCTGCCTCGTGGCTCCTTCTGTACACCTGACCCGGTTTTGAACTGAGCTGGCACTTGTTACTATTCCCATTGTCACTCCCGACTCAGGGACTAGAGGGGCCCTGGGACCACAGAGCCCAGGCTCCGTGTTTGAGTTCTTGCACTCTGTCCATTCTCTCATCAACACTGCCAGGGAAGCCGAGACAAGCAAAATAATATCTGCCCACAATACCAACTTGATTCCAGTCCCAGGCTGGCCACTCTCAGGGCCCTAGGTCAGAAGCCCTGACTCAGGAATAATTCACAGGCCGAGGGGTTGGGGATGTGGTTGCCCTAGGCCCTGTGTGATATCATGTCCACTTACCAGCTCTGTGAACACCTTTCTCCTTATGGACTGGGTACAATTGCAGAAACATGTTTGTTCATTCTTTTTGTGTGGAGACTCCCAGAGCCTGGCACTTGTCCTACCTGGATTTCAGTGTGGCAGCCTCTGGATACCAGGTTTCCTGTGCCCAAACACCTGCTCCCTGGCTTGAGTTGTCCCACTTGACACTGGCAGATGGCCCAGGCTGGGTTAGAGGTTGCACTGGCTCCATGGGTGCACCCACACAGCCCCAGCTAAGTCGAGTGGGGCCTTCATTAGGAAGCAACTTTTGTTCAGACTTAGAGCCAGTCCTTAAGTGGACCTGGGCCAGGTAGTTGGTCTGACCCCACCTAACACAACAGAGGGAAGCTGGTGGAAGCCCTGCCCTTGAGAGCTGCTGTTTCATGGGAGAGCTAAGAGGACTTGGAGAGGGGCTCAGACCCCTGGTTCTGGGGCTGTTGTAGACCTCCTGCCACTCCCTCTGAGGTTTCAGGGACGGTGGCCTTAGAGCTCCTCCTGCAACCTCCCACCCAGCCAGGCCTCTGGAAGGAAACCACCATCTGACTGTCCTAGGGGGAGCAGGGAGCCAGGAAAGGGGCCACTGAGTTGGCCCTCATCTGCCCGCCCATTCCTCAGAGGTAGGTTTTTGTGTGAAGACAAGGTAGTGAAGGATTAAAGGGATAATGGACTTCAAGACACTCCTAGAGGCTTTTCTAAAGAAGCCAGGCTCAGCTCTGCTCAGGAAAGACTTCATGCAGTGCTCAAGTGCTCACGCCATCACAGGCCAGGATTACTAGCCGTCTGTAGTGCTTCCATGGTGCACATTGAGTCCCTGATGGGAAAATCTCTACCAGTTGCTGTTGAGAAAAATGAGGGACAGCAAAAGGAACATTTAGTGTGGCGTTTGTTCACCAATACAGAGAAGGCTCTTTATCCTAAAGGGAGTGGGGCTGCTCATTATTTGAACTGAATCATTAGCTCAGCCATCACAGATAAAGTGTCGGTTGGTTTTCAGTAGATGTTTTCCCACACTTTGCAACCATTTTAATAAACTCTAAAGAGCACAAAACCCAGCCATGATCTGTACAACAAAACCTGCCCATAAGTGATCCCAGACCAGCAGACCCTGAGCCACAGCCACCAACAGCAACTTTATGAAGGCAATGCTCTGACCATTCCCTGCAGGAGTGGTTCATCCAGAGCAGGCTGGGTCCACAGCCCAGTCAGTTCGGCACTCCAGCTGCCTTAACAACTCCCTGGGACCACGGGACCCAGATCCAATTTCCAGCTGCAGGGCTAGAGGCTGTCAGGTAAAGCAGTTCAAGGGCAGTTCCTGGGACCCACTCAACTGCCAGGTGGTGAATCCATTTGACATCTATCTCCTGGATAAACCCTTCAGCCCTGTGTTTTTGGGGGAGGAGGGGGTAGGCAGATTTTCTGTTAGTTGAACAGCACAGTCTAATAAGCACAGCCAGACAGGAAGTTCCAGACATGAAGCCTCACAGAACCCCAAAACCCACATTTCAGTGATCGAGAGACACCTCCATCTGTTAGCACAGTGTTATAAACCCTAGTACTGTGGATACATTTCATAAATGAGAATCCTAGCTGTTCTTGTCACTGTAAAACAGAATGTAAACAATGTCTTATGAATGTATTTCCTTAGGAAAACTGTTGTAAAATTTTTTATTAGGAAAGAATTTCTATTTATTTAATACTGAACTTTGGCCTACTTTGTGGTAGGCTATAAAGCACACAAATTTAGGAGTCGCTACTTCTCACTTCTGTATTTTGAAAATAATTTTGTCACAATGCTCGCCTACTGCATACCATTGATCTATTATGAAAAGAATTTTTAAAGCAAGAATTTCATTGAAATTGGAATTGAAATGTGTAAGTTATGAGTGGTGAAATTGTGAATTTAATTTTGTGAAAATGATCTTAAACTTTGTGTAACCCTAATCACAATCGATGTGCCTTACAGTGGCCCTCAATGTGCTGTTGACAGTGTCTGCGCAGGGGGCCCATCATAGAACCTGCTGCAACTGATTGATCAAATCTATTAAAGAGATTTCAAGGCATTTTTTTGGTGCAAATGTTATCAACGAGAAATCACATCAAAGAGAACATAAGGAGCAACTCCTGAAGGCAGACATTGCTCTGGCACTGGAGTTAACGTTGATCTGTGTGCACATGAGGGAGGGAGGGAGGGAGGGCACTTCTGGCTGGTACCAGCATTGGACACACCGCTGTGGGCACAGCCTGGGCCCTGGAAACTGGTTTTTCCCCAGGAGAGACAGGTGAACACTACCACTCACTCCCTTAGACCCGTCACAGCACAGAGAGGACAGGCCCAGGAAGGATGGGAGCAGTGCCCATCCAGCCTAAGTGGGAGAACGAAGCACCTGAAACATCAAGTGGGGAGGGGAGGGGCCTGGGGCTAAAACCAGAGCTAGCCTTGAGAAAAAGACCCGAGTTCACTCATGACTGGTTAGCGACATGTCAATTCTACTTCAGTTTTGATTCTTTCAAGAAAAAGTCCTATTTGTGAATTTTTCATGTCTCGTGAGGGTGAAAGCGCAATATAAACTTTGCCAACCGGAACATGTCTTAGGAGGAAACCAGCCTATCGGGACACACTCAGAGGTTCCGAGCAGCCCGACACTGTGCACAAGCAGTGCTGAAGGGAGGGAGCAGCACAGACGTCTTCCTGAGGGACGACCCTCCAGCCTGAACTGGCCAGTCCCTGGGAGCCTGAATCAAGGGTGGAAGGGGCCTGCGACAGAGGAACGGGCAAACTCCTCTCCTTCCTGTCTTAGTCAGCACTGTGCAGCTGTGCCAGGCACCACTCATCTAAGAAATCTCGCTCACTGGGATGGAGGGTGAAGAAAGTTTGGGGAGGCACACACAGGGGCTCACCATGTATCCTGGATGGACCCTTCCATGAACCTGGTATGAAGATTAATGTGTAAAACAAAGCTACCACTGAAGGCAGCCATGGAGAGACAGCTGAATAACAGAAAAAAGGTCTCAGGGACCCTGAGTCAGGAATACGCAAGGCCCATAAATCTAAACCACGGAGGGCTGCCTGTGTGGGTGTGGAGCAGCAGGCCACAAGAGACCAGTGGGACCTGTCCTGGCGGGTGAGGGTGGCAGGGAGATGGGGATGCCTTCAGATGCTGTGTCTGGGCCCCTGTGGTCACCACTAGTAAGAAACAGCTGGGAAACTCATTCCCCACAGCGTTTACTTTTATTGAACAGCAGCATCGGAAGTGCTGACACTACAGGAGGGAGTGAGACGAGAGGTGAACCAGAAGTCAGCCAGGATCCTGCCCACAAGCTGGGCCACCACAAGATAAGAGGGTTAGAACGCGCCACCAGAGCACCTGTCGGTCAGGCAGCCTGCTCTCGGCAACATGAGTCATACTGGATGTCACACATGGGATGAAGATCGTGAGATGAAGATGTGCCCTAACCACAGGTCAGACAGAAACTGAAAGGCTACTTGAGGAGCTTGGCCACGTTCAGACTGGGAACTATGATTTCCCTGAAGATGGGCACATAGTTTGGATTCACCTGTGTGTTGCCCTGCTCCAGTGTCTCAATGATGGTCTGCTTCATGTCCCGGCTGGCATCCCCTCGCAAGGCCAGCAGCGCGCCGATGTGGTCATCCCTGGGAAAGTGGGGAAAATGGAGGGGTGTATGGGGGTA